GGCGCAAGCCAGCTGAGGGACCCCCCCCCACCCCTGAGTGCATGAATTTTCGTGCACCGGGCCTCTAGTTATCAATAAATGGAATAGGAACATGTAGTGTTTTGCGTCTTCAGTACAGAATTCCAAGCTAGGATAACTAAAGGTTGTCAAGTACTGGTTCCTTAAGGACCTACTTTAAAAGACAGATGAGACTTATCAGTGACCGGCATCTCTCTAGGCCAGGCAGGTTATATAAATGAGTGAAATGGGCTCAGTGTAAGACAGTAGGGAGTGGCAGGGACTATGACCAGTGGCCGAGCACATGCCTGATTTTTGTGATACATTGTCCTGCCATCTCATTGAATTCTGGGAGAGAATGGTAAAAGGAGCTAAAGGGAGGAGATATTAGCAATTTGGGAAGCAGGCTAGGGTGGTGGTTGGAGGTGCACAGTGGGAGTGAGAGAGAGTGAGCAGAGGGAGGCAGGTTGCTGAGAAGAGGGAGAAAGTCACTCCAAACTGCTAACAGTCTTTAAAGCAAGTGGAGAAGTGAGTGACTGTCCACTCTGAGGCCTTCCTCTATAGCCTAACTGCCTTTACCTGGATAGTTTTAGAAGTTTGGGGCGGGGGAAGGGGGCAATAAAAATGTTGGAAGATAGTGGGATCACAAGTGATTTTGACTTTTTTTATGCTTTTCTGATATGTTTTAAATTAAGATTTCTTAATGGGAAGAGATGGCAGAGACTATAAGGGAGGGACCACCATCTGGGGCAGCATAGGGGCTGAGGGCTGAGTAAGGAGAATCAGCCAGGAAGGCCAGTTCTGGGTCCAAGGTCTGGGCAAAAATGGGGCCAGGCCAGGGGTTCAAGGTGCAGTCAGACAGGGTGGGCCCAATAGCTGGGGGTCAGTCCTAGGGACCCAGGAGGTTGGTTCCCTCCTTCAATGCTTCAGAGCAGCCTAAACCCAGGGAGCAACTGGGTTTCGTTTCAGGACAAACCTTTAACCCCTGGGGAAGGGCCCGTCAACAACAAGCAGGTCCCCAGGCTAAGCAGGGGCCCGATGTCCTTGACAAGCTCCGACAACATGACTCTGAAGCAGCAGTTCTCAATCTCTGGGTCACAACCCTTTCACAGGGGTTGCCTAAGACCATCGGAAAACACATATATAATTCCATATTGTTTTTGTGATTAATCGCTATGTTTTAATTACGTTCAATTTGAAACAATGAAATTGGGGTCACCACAACATGAGGAACTGTATTAAAGGGTTGCGGCATTAGGAAGGTTGAGAACCACTGCTCTAAAGCAATGGCCAGAGCATGCTTTCATTCATTCAAAAAGTGTCAATTGAGCATCTATATGTTCTGCTAACCCTGAGGGGCAGTATGTGTCAGCCATTAATTTATGCTTCATTGAATTAGTTCATGTAATGCTCACTATGACTCTAGGATGTCGGGATATAATGGGTATTACTATTCCCATTTTACAGGAGTAGAAACTGAGGCACGAAGTGGTTCAATAACTTGCCCATGGTCACTGAGATTTCTGACTTGAGAGCCCACATTCTAACTATACTCTACCACCTTCCTGTGCTAGAGACAGAGGAAAGGACATGGAAAGGACAGGCAAGGTTCCGCGCTCCCACCCCCCTCCCCAAAGTGTGCAGGCCGGAGGGAGAGGCAAAAAGCGGATACAAGGTGGTGATGAGGCTGCACCAGGCAGTTTCCCCACCTGTCACCAGCTTGAGCAAGTCACTGTAACTTTCTGTGCCTCAGTTTCCTCAAATGCACACCTACCCCCCAGGAATGAATGAACTGACATGTGATAGACCAGCTTGCACAGCACCTGGCACATCATGACTGCCCCATAAGTACTGGTTCTATCTTCTGTTCTTACTAGAGGCCTGGCGCACAAAATTCGTGCACTCAGGAGGGTCCTTCAGCCTGGCCTGCACCCTCTTGCAGTTCAGGAGCCGTTGGGGAATGTCCAACTGACGGCGGGAGCAGGCCTAAGCCGTCAGTCAGACATCCTTAGTACTGCCGCAGAGGCAGGAGAGGCTCCCGCCACCCCCTCTGTGCTCGCCAGCCGTGAGCCCAACTTCTGTCTGAGCGGCACTCCCCGTATGGGAGCTCACTGGCCATCAAGGGGCAGCTCCTGCATTGAGCGTCTGCCCCCTGGTGGTCAGTGCATATCATCACGACCAGTCATTCTGCTGTTCGGTCGATTTGCATATTAGCCTTTTGTTATATAGGATAGGATTGGAGATGAGGCAGGGGACTGGCTCATTTGTCACTGACCCAGGGAAAGAAGAGCCTGGACTTCAAAAACCCTGGAACACGGTGGCAAGGGGGCAGCTTTTCTCACCCACTTCCACCAGCAGGGAGGACACTGAGCTAGGGAAGAGGAGAGAAACCAAGGCAGGTGACAGTCTTCGAGGCCAGGTGGCGTGTGTTTACCTTTCACACCTGGGAGCCACCTGAACTCGGGCTGTGGGTCAGTCTTCTGTGGGGAAGTGCCACTTCGAATCACGAATAAGCTATGACGATTTCCTATGAAAAACTGGATTTCAGTGAAGTGAGTGTTCCTTTGATCGATTCTGCTCCTGTGTGGTCCCTGCCTCACCAATGAGTATTTCATCCCCTGGAATCCAAGCTTCACCCTTCTCTCCGCTAAAGCTGCCTTTTTTCCCTTTCCTCTTCCAGACCCTCATTTCCTCAACAATAAAGAAATGTCTGATGTCACCTTCCTGGTGGAAGGAAGACCGTTTTATGCTCACAGAGTGCTGTTATTTACAGCCTCTCCGAGGTAGGTACCGTCCGCTTGGAGAGCAGGTGAATTACGAGTGTGGCTGTGGCTTTTACTGTGCTCTGAAGTTCAATTCTGGGGGTACCTCCACCAGACTGGCAGATTATCTTCTCCTAATCAAGGATTCAAGAGCACAGAGCAGCCCTCGCCGGTCTGGTTCAGTGGATCAGGCATCGGCCTGCAGACTGAAGGATTGTGTCAGGGTGCGTCTGAGAGGCCACCAATCGATGGGTTTCTCTCACGTCCATGTTTCTCTCTTTGTCTCTCCTCCTCCCTTCCACTCTCTAAAAAATCGATGGAAAAATATCCTCGGTGAGGATTAACAAAAAAAGAGTGCAGGGCATTTGTGCATTGTATCATAGCAACATTATTCACAATAGCCAGCAGGTAGAAGCAGCCCAGGTGTCCATCAGTGGACAAATGGATAAGCTCAGTGTGGTGTACACACGTGTTATTCAGCCTTGAAAAGGGAGGCAATTCGGACACGGGCTACAACACGGATGAACCTTGGGGACCTTATGCAAAGTGAAATAAGCCAGTCACAAAAGACAAATGCTGTTTGATTCCATTTATATGTGGTCCTAGAGGAGGCGAATCCTTAGAGACAGAAAGAACTGTGGTTGCCAGGGGCTGGGAGGGGGAGTGGGGAGTTAGTGTTTAATGAGCACCTGGTGAGTTCTAGGATTGGCTGTGCAACAATGGGAATATACTCAACATCAACATTACCGTACACTTGAAAATGGTTAAGATGGTAAATGACATGTTCTGTGTTTTTTTCTTACAATAAAAAAAAAGAATAGTGGGCAGCCATCGGCATAAACAGCACCGCCTTTGTGTGACTCGGCGCCTGTGACTCCAGGCAGACAGGGCAGGTGTAGGGAGAGCTTCCCGAGCAGCGCGTGGGAGGAGCATGGATTAGGTTTGCACTCCCTCCGCCAGGTGCCTCGTGCCATGCACAACCTCACACACAGCCGCCTGGAAAGGCCTGCCCTCCACATGTCAGGGAACTTTGGCATAAGCCACCAAAATACACGGGTCCTGTGAGCCTTCCTCTTCCCTGACTGTGGAGGGGACAACAGTCTGGCACCCTCAGCCAGCTCCGCCACTGCCCTTCCTCCTTTCAGTTTGAGATGAGAAGGTTGACCATGTGGAACCGCATGGTCCAAGGACCTGACCAGGATGAGTGAGGCTGGGCCAGGGAGAGAGTGATGCTGAAATGAGGAAGAGGCAGGCCCCAGGGTAAGAATCTACTTCCAGGACTCTTGCTAAGGAATGCGTCTGACCTACCAGCATTCCCTGGATCCTGAGAGCAACCTGGCACCCACGGTGCCCCCCAAACAAAATGCAAACCCCACGTGTCTGCTTTTCTACCACAAGAAAAACATGCCGTCTCTGGCATAGCTCTCAGTTATGATACTATTGAAAAAACAGATCAATATTGTGACGATGTTTGTTTCTTGGTTTGGACAAAGAGACCATGGCTGTGTAGGATGTTAACAGCAGGGGGGACTGGATGACGGATAAGCAGGAACTATCTTTGCATGTCTTCTATAAATCTATAATTATATCAAGATTAAATGTTTAATTTTAAAAAAAGAAACACGGAGCTTATTCCTAAGTAGATTATCAGTGTGTTCCAGTGGCAGGTTCTCTACCCTCAAGGAGCATGTAGTTTAGTGGACGGCAGGAAAGTGCACCTAAAACCTCAGGCAGAAGGTCAGCCATGGGGAGCCCTAGGGAGTCAACAGATGTTGATTCAGTACCCACGATGCATCGGACAGGCACGGGCTCCGAGGATGCAGCAGAAGCAGAAAGGCCACAGGTCCCAGCCGGCCTGGAGCAGCGGTTGCTTGGGAGGGGGAAGGCGGGATTGGAAAACTCCATGAGCAGCAAAGGATCCAAGGAAGGCTCCCTGGAGGAGGCAGCCTTTGTGACGGGCCCTGCAGGACAGATGGGGTTTTCAAAGGCATTTGCTCTTTTCTAATCACCTGCTTGAGAAATGACGCTGTTCTTTTCTTTTTCTTTAATATATTTTTACTGAGAAGGGAGAGTGAGAGAGAGAGAAACATCAATGATGAGAGAGAATCATTGATTGGCTGCCTCCTGCACTCCCCTTACTGGGGATTGAGCCCGCAACCCGGGCATGTGCCTTTGACCAGAATTGAACCTGGGACCCTTCAGTCCACAAGCCAACGCTCTATCCACTGAGCCAAACCAGCTAGAGCAGTGGTTGGCAAACTTCGGCTCACAAGCCACATGCGGCTCTTTGGCCCCTTGAGTGTGGCTCTTCCTAAGCCTTAGGAGTACCCTAATTAAGTTAGTAACAATGTACCTACCTATATAGTTTAAGTTTAAAAATTTTGGCTCTCAAAAGAAATTTCAATCGTTGTACTGTTGATATTTGGCTCTGTTGACTAATGAGTTTGCCGACCACTGAGCTAGAGCAACACTGTTCTTTTAAGTTGAGGTTTAACTTCAGATTGGATTACGATCTCCTACAGGGAGGGGAGGGTTAAACTAAGAAATCTGTGGCGACGTCCTTGCTGTATGTCAGAGACAGGGAGATAAAAGAGCCGAGTTTCTTGCCAGCTGTGGGTGTGCTTGTGAGTCTTTTTCTCTCTTTGTGATCTTGTTCAGGTTCAAAGCGCTGCTCTCCAGCAAGCCAACAAATGACAGCAGCTGCATAGAGATCGGCTATGTGAAGTACCCCATCTTTCAGGTGAGCCCCTGCTGGGTGGGCCCAGGGCACGGGTGGTTCCCTCCAGTCCTTGGCCTGTGGATTAGCTACTGCAGCAAACCATCCGTCTCCTGCACTCTGTCCCTCTCCTCACACTGCCCTTCCCACTTGCCATCCATTCATCCCTACACTGTTAATTGAGCACCTACTATGTGCCTGACACTGTGCTGGGACCCAGGGCACAGGGTAAAAGACAGTCCTCTCCTGGGGACTCCCAGTCCAGAGCGGGTAACTCTGAGTAATTACTTCATTATAGTATTACATGAGGGGGGCTGAGAGAGAGGAGTGAGCCGATGTGCTGTGACAACTCAGACCAGGGGAATTGAGGAAGGCGTCCTGGGTGAGGTGTTAGCTGAAAGATTGAGGGCTGAAAAGTTGGGGAGCCATAGGAAGGAAGGCTTAGGGCTTAAGAAAGGGGAACAGTGGGCAGATAAAGTCCCAGAACTGGTTGAGCCCAGTGCGACCAGGAGCCAGTGGGCTGCAGGGAATCCAAGGTCATTGTCACCCTGATCTGAACCTACCAGGAGCCTCATGTAAGCAGCAAAGGAAGGTGCCTTCGTCGAAGGTCAGGTGGCATTACCTTGTCTCTCTCCCTTTTGGGGGACGTCCGTACCGTGAACGGCGGGTTGTGGTTCACGTGGCATCTCTGAGGGGGTGCCTTCTCCCTTTCCCACCCTCCTTCATGCTCCATTCATACGTCGTGCCCCACAAGGGCCTGCTTGCAGCTCATAGAAATTCACCCTGGATCGGCTTTGCAGCCCTATTCCTAGAGCTTTGAGTCTCCTCCGGGGCCTGGAGCCTGGTGGGCTGCTTACACCTCCCAGGGCAGGCCTGCAGGGGAGAGCAGGGCCCCTCGTGCTGTCCTCCCGCCAGCCAGGGTTAGCAGGCCAACGTGGGGGTGCTGGGATGGTGCTTGGCAGAGTCTGAACTGGACCTTGCTTTCCTCCAGAAGGACAGTCCTGGAAAGAGTAAGCAGGTGGGTAAGACTTGGGCCAGCCTCGGGAGACTCTCAGTGTAAGACCGTTGAAGGGACATCTCAGAGACGAGCAGGAGGCCGGGCCGGCGGGGACCAGGGTCACGGAGCCGGGTTCTCCTCTGGACTTGGAAGGCAGAGCTACGTTCCGGGATTCACATGCTACATCCCTCTCTCTAAACCGACTCCTCCCCCTGTTTAAAAGCAGTGTCTCTCCTGGGACCTGGGACAGATCACCCAAGCTTTCTGAACCTCGGTTTCCAGAAACAGCAGAAACATAAACAGAGACACAGAAGTGGGAGGTCGTGGGGTACGTTTGAGGGAAAGGGGTTGTCATTGGCTGGGTCTTCAGGGATAGCAGAGATGGAAAGGACACCCTGGGCCCACCTGGTGTGAGCCACGTGGGGAGAAGACAGGCCAGATGCTGGTTCCTCCCTCCACCTGGTGCCCCAGAGCCTGCTGTTCAGAGGGCTGCCAGGCAGACCGTGCCCTCGCACTAGCCCCAGAGTCTGCATTTCCACCGTTAGAGGTGCACTTTTCTTGTTATGTTGAAACTTCAAAATAAAGAATTCTCTCCAAATAGCCATAGGCAAGACACCCTCAGCCTCATTAAGCGGGTTATTTTCTACGGCATAACTGATACACCACCTCCCTGTTAAGCCTAAGTCCCTGTTGAATGGGCTACTTGGCACTAAGCCAGTGGTTCTCAACCTTCTGGCCCTTTAAATACAGTTCCTCATGTTGTGACCCAACCATAAAATTATTTTTGTTGCTACTTCATAACTGTAATGTTGCTACTGTTATGAATCATAATGTAAATATCTGATATGCAGGATGGTCTTAGGTGACCCCTGTGAAAGGGTCGTTCGACCGCCAAAGGGGTCTCGACTCACAGGTTGAGAACCGCTGCACTAAGCATTGGGGAGCGGATGAAAGGGGTGCCAAGCCAGCCCGGGTGAGCCGTCCGCCTGGGGTGGGGGTAGCAGAGAGGAGGCTGGAGCCCCAGGATGGGACTGGGAGTTGGCACCCCCCCCCCACACTCATCCCAGTGCCTGTTTCCCCTTTTCCCAGCCCCTCACCCCCACCCCTCACCACATTTCCTACTAGGAGCAAAGTGGCCACAGCCCCTTCCGGAATGGCGGCAGCTGTTGGGGTTAAACGTTTCCATGAAACCACTGCTTGGCTTTAGGGTCAGGGGTCGGGAGGGCGGTGAAGAAACCTTAATGGGGCTCCAACTGTGAATGAGGCACCGGCCTCTGCTTGCACGTGGTTATCTGGATGATTCTGGCCGGTTTTGGAGATAAAACAACAGAGGCCCAGAGAGCTTAAATGATGCGCCCCCTAGTCTCAGTGCTAGTTAGTGACAGAGCCAGGATTTGAACCAGCAGGTCTGGCTCTGGAGTACACTTCCCAAGTGGGAGCACTGGTATCCTTGAGCCTCTGTGTAAGGCTCCAAGCCGGTGATTCTCACCGGGGCTGCATGTTAGAGTCACCTGGGAGCTTTGACAGCGACCAATAAGCAGGCCGTGAGTCAGACCATTTCGATCAGACTCTGAGCCGAGCATTGGGGAGCCTCCGTCCTCCTCCCATTACCCCAGCACTCTCAGTTATGGTGGTTCTCACACCTTAGCTACACCTTAGCTTCAAAATACCCACAGGACAGAGGGGGCTTGTGAAAACACAGAAAACAATGCAGATTCCCGGGCCCCGCCTCCAGAATCCCCGATTCTGTCAGCCTGGGCTGCAGCCCAAGAATGTGCATGTCTTACCAGAACCCAGGTGATGCCGACGCTACTGGTCCAGGGGCCACCCTGAGAACCACTGCCATCCATCATCTCCTTGGGCTCTCCTTACAGGCAGGATGTGCCCCAGCGCCCACGGCTCATCACAGCCGAGCTGAGGTTCAGACCCAGGCCTGGCTGACCCCAGGACCTGTTCTCTTCACTGCCTCCCTGCGGTGGCGACCTGGGCCTTCCCTAAAAGCCACCCAGGCCTGAGGAGAGAAGCCGAGGCCCGTTAGAGTCTGGAGCAGGAGCTAGATGCTGGAACATGCACATTTCCCCAGCTCTCTGGGTGCCGTGAAGAGGGCACTTACACCGTTAGGCCTGGGACTAACTGGGGAGGTTCCTAAAATAAGAACCTGTCTTGCAATAGGCACTCAACAAATTCAATAGATTCGAGGAATAGGAGACCATCCAGGGCAAAGCACAGCCCAGAGCAGCCGTGGGCAAACTACGGCCAGCGGCCGGATCCAGCCCGTTTGAAATGAATAAAACTAAAAAAAAAAAAAAGACCATACCCTTTTATGTAATGATCCGGGCCCTCTGGTCCAGTTTAAGAACCCATTGTGGCCCTCGAGTCAAAAAGTTTGCCCACCCCTGGCCCAGAGCAATGGAGGCCTGTAATTACTTCTGATGAGAAAGGCTTGCTGGCCACAGGAGCCTCAAGCTCCTGTGAGGGGCAGGGAGCAGGCCCCCCACCCCTCCAGGGCTTTTGCCTGCGCCCCGCCTTCCCCTTAAAAGAAGAAAAGCCTCATTTGTGGCTTGAAATAGGCCAAGTAGGGCTGAATCCAACCCAGGAGGAGGCTCCCAGGGGCCTGTTCACCACACTTCCATGCTGACCGAAGGAGTTTAGTAAATGAGGCTGCCTTGCGTTTCCTCTCTCCACGACCGCTTAACATCACACTCGGGCCGGAGCCAGACGCAGCTGAGGCTGCACCTGGACGCGGGGCCTCCGTGAGGCTGTGCGCCGTTTGCATCCCGGCTTCATGCAGGTCGACAGCTGCCAAGAAAAACAACTCCGCAGCCAGGCCCTGCGGCCTAAGGACTGTGCGTTTCACCCCCTTGCAGAAAAGGCTTGTGCTGGCAGCGTCTGAAGGGGCCTGGGGCAGCCCCGTTTCAATGCCATTTGCCAGGGATCTCCACGGAGGAGCAGCATTTCCGGCCCAAGTAAAGGATGAAGTGCTTTGTCAACAGCCCTCGGGGTTGTTATTGTTGGTTTGGCCTTTATTAACGTTCTGGAGAATGAATTGATTTCAGTGCAGCTTTAAGATGACTGTGTCTGTGTGGCTGACGCCTCGCACGCTGTGTCCTTTTTTCCAGCTGGTCATGCAGTACCTCTACTATGGTGGCCCGGAGTCACTGCTCATTAAAAACAACGAGATAATGGAGGTAAGGCATCCGCAGTGGCGCTGGGGGGATGGAGGGCACCTCTGTGAACTCAGGTCACGGCACACGTCAGCAGGCCTGGGAGCACTCGTGTTGGGTTTTCGTTTGGATGCAGGTTTGGGGGTCCTGTCTGACTCCTCGTGGAAGGGTGGGGTGCTTGGTGCACTAGCAGACCCCCTTCACTGAACCCCAGTTTTAACTGGCTTGCGGGGGGGGGGTGGGGGGGGGGAGGCGCAAAGGAAATTTACCCAAGAGGCTGCGTCTCCGAGCACAGCTGGGGCTCGAAGTCCTCATCAGGAACTATCCTTGGTGACTTGTCCCTGGTCATTTGTAAGAGAATTATATCATCTAAAAACAGCCTTCAAATCCCAGCTCTGGCCCTGAGCAGAAGCTGGGAGCCGGTTACAGAAGCTCTCCTGGCTTCACTGAGGTTTGACGGCCCCTGACTC